GTCAGAGAGCCCATAGTATGGAGTGTGTCCACACACTTCACACTATGTATTCTTCTAAACAAGGTCAGGTATGCATTTTACTCTTAGATTCGTCTTTGAGAATTTGATGTCTTGTATTGATTTGATATCGTTGAATTGGCTATGGAGATAATTGGCATAATACATATTTACCTGACTGATTAATAAATTGTTACATTTGATTTATTCTGACTTACTCTGAAATTATTTCCTCAAGTAGATTAAGTGAAGGCGTATGTTTCCGCAAATCTGCGACCAGGGTTACGTGCATACTAGATCTCAGATTAGATGAAGCATGGGGCGCATCAGGTGAGATTATGGGTTTCTGACTAACCGCTTGACCTTAGTTTAAGTTGTACTCAGTTACGTTAACCATGTATATGATTTCAGAGTTAATTAAGTTGTACGTAGTTATACTAACTATCGGGGTCTAGACTAAGGGTCTAGAAAACCGCAGATTAATGCTTGGAGTATTAATTAAGTTGTACGTAGTTATACTAACTATCGGGGTCTAGACTAAGGGTCTAGGAAACCGCTGATTAATGCTTGGAGTATTAATTAAGTTGTACGTAGTTATACTAACTATCGGGGTCTAGACTAAGGGTCTAGGAAACCGCTGATTAATGCTTGGAGTATTAATTAAGTTGTACGTAGTTATACTAACTATCGGGGTCTAGACTAAGGGTCTAGGAAACCGCTGATTAATGCTTGGAGTATTAATTAAGTTGTACGTAGTTATACTAACTATCGGGGTCTAGACTAAGGGTCTAGGAAACCGCTGATTAATGCTTGGAGTATTAATTAAGTTGTACGTAGTTATACTAACTATCGGGGTCTAGACTAAGGGTCTAGGAAACCGCTGATTAATGCTTGGAGTATTAATTAAGTTGTACGTAGCTATACTAACTATCGGGGTCTAGACTAAGGGTCTAGAAGAACCGCTGATTAATATTTGAGCATTACATGGGTAACTGTAGGGGGCTAAACAGATATTAAATAGTATTAGCCACAAACCTTTGGATAAGGTTCAGACTGGCAAGTTTTGTGATCGTGGAGCCCACGCATGGCGGCCGCCGTGAAATGGAGTCAGATTAGATAATAAAATGGAGTCAGATTTGAGTTAAATCTAAATTGAATAACTCTGCGCGCTGAAAAGACCGAACACGCAAGTAACTTTCATCCGCCACTGGATACCTTCCTTGGGCCATGTGTGCGGACCTTACAAGTATTTGTAGGGGAAGATGAAAAAGTAGGTTAGTGTGGGAGGAGCTCAAGGTTTTGTCAGCTTCAGCAGAAGAAATCATTAAGACAACACTGACTTTCCTTCATTGAGAATTCTGAACTCAAACTACAGAAACATGTTACTCATCTCTTCCGTTTTAATTTTTATCCTCAGTTACTGGAAGTACTGTTAGTCATACACATTTTACACCATATTCCAGAATATAAAAAGAGTATACAAATCAAAAACATGCACATTTTTAAATTCATTCTAAACATAATCCATTACATTGCTTGATTATTTATCATCTTTGCAGGTGAATCTAATGGAAATGTCATCAGACCAAACCAGCCATCTGTAGTTTTAACTGAAGGAACAGCACCACTCTGTCCTGTTCATATGATGGATCAGCTTACAGTCTCCACTGGTATCGACAGAAGCCTGGATCAAAACCAGAGTTTCTGCTGCTGATTGTTGAGTCTTCCAAGTTTGTCACCAAAGCTGACCGACCTCATCCACATAGGTCCATCAGACTCTATGATAATAAAAGTGTGGATCTGGAGATCTCCTCTGCTGCATATTGTATAATAATCATATATTTAAGCCTTCCCTCATGCAGTGTCTCATTATTTTTCCTCCTTCCTGTACTTACAAGGTGGTCTTTTTTCTGAGAACTACTGTAGCCTACCATTTTAGCAAATGTTTTGCACAGTTTACTTATTTATTGGTAATTTAAGGCCACTTTTACAAGACAAAACACACTGTAATTTACAATAAATCAAGGTAAGTGAACCAGTACACCATAGTATGAACCCACACATGCTAGAAAAACATTCCTTTATGCAAAAAAGGATATAAGCATGAAACTTAATTAGCATCAAAGTACAAAAATCAATTGCACAAAAATAAAACAGTTCCTTCTATGTCTATAGACAAGACAAATTCCTGCAGATGAGACTACTGTATGATAACTTTGCTGTGTTTTTTTTTTTGCACAGTAAACATAAATTGTACTATCAATTGGATCTCTCTGGACAGTGACAGCCTTTATTACAGTACCTTATTACATATTTCTTTAATCATTTCAATCTTATACAAGTTAATGTATAATTTACTAGGTCAAAATTTCTGTAAGCTGTTTTTTTTTTAATACAGTACATCCCATGAAGAATGATGAGATATTGTAGCAAAAGGTGATATTACGTGCATTCTGCCAGAAGGTGGAGCTCCGGGAACCATCCTAGTTCAGTCTCAGTTCAGATGTTTAAAGGGGTCATATGATGCTGCTAAAAAGAACATTATTTTGTGTATTTGGTGTAATGAAATGTGTTTATGCAGTTTAAGGTTCAAAAAACACATTATTTTCCACATACTGTACATTATTGTTTCTCCTCTATGCCCCGCCTTTCTGAAACATGTCGATCTTTACGTGGATTTTCATTGGTCTGAAAAAGCGAGGTGTGCTCTGATTGGCCAGCACTTTAGTCTTTGCAACTTTACAGATCTTCTTTATGCACCAAGAGCTTGTAACACTCCAAAGAGAAAGGAAAAATTGAAATCGCATCATATGACCCCTTTAAAAACAGAGCAGACATACATTGAGTGAGTCATACTCAGAGAGAGAACTGTAAGTCTTGACTCTCAAAGTCATTGTCTCTCATTAGTACAGATGTTGCTCCTCGTATTCATTATATTTTCTCTCCTAAACGGTGAGTGATTCAACAAGCTTTTTATACTGTTGACAATCTGAAATTGTTCATTAGAAATGATTAATTAAAACATAGTTTGTTTTAAACAGAGACTGCTGGTGAAGATGTCATAAAACCAGTCTTCACAGAAAAGCAGGTTTTGGAAGGAAAAGATGTTACACTGATCTGCAACTACACTGGCACTGTCAACAATTTACAGTGGTATCGTCAGTATCCCGGATCCAAACCGGAGCACATCATCATGTTCTTTGAGACCATCCCCAAATCAGAGCCCGCTCTCCGTCTGACCGCTGCAGCTGATAAAGCAGCCAAAAGTATGAATCTGACGATCTCTTCTACAGAAGTGAAAGACTCTGCCATGTACTACTGTGCCCTGGTGCCCACAGTGACAGGAAACACAACTACACCGTACAAAAACAGAGTGAGAAAGGATATTTAAGACAGAAGATGATGATGCACAATGCAGATTTTAAAACTACACTCTTTATAAAGTAGACGATCTATTGTTACCTTTTGGAATAGTTTCCAAACCCATGTACAGTATATTGGTAGTGTCCTCCTCACCATTAATATTATCAGACCACTTCTTAATACAGATATGAAAAGCAACATAATGTTTAAAACATTTAATATCTGTACAGTGCCACTGCAATATTTGTATAATATCAGCTTATTTATATACCGTCTATACTTGTGGGGTCAAATGAGCGTGTAGGTTTGTGTAGGAGGAGCTTACGATTTTGTCAACGTCAGTGGAAGAAATCAAAAAGACAACACTGACTTTCCTTCATACAGATCCTGAACTCAAACTATGAGAAACATGTTACTCATCTCATCCGTTTTCATTTTAATCCTCAGTTACTGTAAGTACCGTTAGTCATACAATGTCTTTTCACACATATTTTGCAACATTTTCCAGAACATAACTAAAAAATAAATAAATAAAAAACATGAATTTTTTACTCTAAATGTAATCATTACAGTCCTTGATTATTTATCATCTTTGCAGGTGAATCTAATGGAAATGTCATCAGACCAAACCAGCCGTCTGTAGTTTTAACTGAAGGAAGCAGCACCACTCTGTCCTGTTCATATGATGGATCAGCTTACAGTCTCCACTGGTATCGACAGAAGCCTGGATCAAAACCAGAGTTTCTGCTGCTGATTGTTGAGTCCACTAAATATGTCAACAAAGCTGACCAACCTCATCCACATATGTCCATCAGACTCCATGATAATAAAAGTGTGGATCTGGAGATCTCCTCTGCTGCTGTATCAGACTCTGCAGTGTATTACTGTGCTCTGGAGCCCACAGTGACAGGAAAACAAACTACACTGTACAAAAACCTTATTGTTATCTGCCTGATGAACAGTCATATTTCTCTACCATGATCTCTGTGATATTCCATTTTGCTGATGATCTAATGGCATTTAAATGTACATTATCAAATTGTAATTCATTTTGCTCTATTTAGCAAGGACGTCCCTCAAAGAGAAAAAAAAAACATAATATAGGACTATAATCATAATCAATACAAAAATGGACTACAAAATACCAAGACAAACAATCACCACTCAAGATAAAAGAATTTCAATCTGTTCCTTGAAATAAAGCTTGACACATTTCTCTCTGATAAATTACTAGAATGTTAAAATAAATAACTACAGTATAGATGTATTTAAAATATTTTATCTTGCCACAGAAAGGTTATTGGGTTTTTATATACAAGAGATTTCCAGGGCTTTTATTACCCACAGAATTATTTTAGATTCACAGTTCAGACCACACATAGAGTATTGTCCTTTGAAAGTCACTAAAGTACAGTTGATAGCTGATATGTTGATGTACAATAACTTTTGGTTGTTTCAGTTACATCCAAAAAAGAATGACATTATACTTAACCAGTGGTTACCACACATTTTTTAAATGATTATTAAATCAGATCAGAGTATTACAGTTACGCATGGCTTTTACCAGAAGGTGGAGCTCACAATCAAGTGATTTCAAAACAGAGCACATGCAAACTGAGTCAGTTAGGAGGAAACTGTAAGTCTTGACTCTACAGAACTTTTTGTCTCATTGATAATGTTGCTCCTTGTCCTCATGACATTTTCCCTTTGTAAGGGTGAGTAATGCATAAGAATAATTTCCAGATTATTGATTGTGTTAATAAACCAACTATTTATATATGCTCTTTATTCAATTAGTCCATGACTTTTAATGTTTTTAATTGATTGATTGATATTTTTTAAACAGATAATGTTGATGCTGAATTGATAACATCATTCTTCACAAAGCAGCATGTTTTGGCAGGAAGAGATGTTACACTTTCCTGCAACTACAGTGGTAATGTTCGCAGTCTGCAGTGGTACCGTCAGCATCCCGGATCCAAACCTGAAAATATAATTTATTACACTGAGAGCAGCAGTCAGTCAGAGCCCAAGCTTCGTCTGTACGCTGTGGCCGATAAAGGAATCAAACTTATGAATCTGAGCATATCTTCTACACAAATGGATGATTCTGCTCTGTACTACTGTGCTCTGCAGCCCACAGTGACAGGAAACACAATTGCACTGTACAAAAACAGACAATCAGGACACACACTGTAATTACCAAACCTTACCAACATATACAATAAGGAAAAATCAAAGAAAAAAATAAATAAGAGAGCTGGTAACTGCACATCAACCAGTGTAAAGATCTTTGAAGCTTTTGGTTACAGTACTTTAACTCTGTAAATTTTCCACATAACTTACTGTCCAAAAGAAACATTTTATTTTTTTGTGAAATCATTGATTAAACAGCAGCCATTCTTTTTTTTAAATCTTCATTTTAATTAGAGAGTAAGCTAAAATGTATTCACATACAATCAGTATTTGTAGGGGAAGATGAAAAAGTAGGTTTGTGTGGGAGGAGCTCAAGGTTTTGTCAGCTTCAGCAGAAGAAATCATTAAGACAACACTGACTTTCCTTCATTGAGAATTCTGAACTCAAACTACAGAGACATGTTACTCATCTCTTCTGTTTTAATTTTTATCCTCAGTTACAGCAAGTACTGCTAGTCATACACATTTTACACCATATTTATATATAAATCAAAAACATGCCCATTTTTAAATTCATTCTAAACATAATCCATTACATTGCTTGATTATTTATCATCTTTGCAGGAGAATCTAATGGGAATGTCATCAGACCAAACCAGCCATCTGTAGTTTTAACTGAAGGAAGCAGCGCCACTCTGTCCTGTTCATATGATGGATCAGCTTACAGTCTCCACTGGTATCGACCAAGTGGCAACCTTCCGGTCTCTCTCGTGAAGCTAACACGGAAGTGACTAAAACTGCAATTCATCGACTGGCCGCTAGAGGCTGGCTCCAAAAGGGAGTCAGTCCCATAGACTCCCCATGTTAAAATGCCCAACTTTACAGCAGAAAAAAATATGTTTACAGCCTGGTACAAAAAATTATTTTGGTCTATATAGCTAATTTTGCCCTTCATGACAACTGTGAGGGGGGTGAATTTTTTTATAACTCATCCATTTAAATTATATTAAGCCTTAAAGTTCTGCATAATTAAGGGCGTGGCCACTTGAGTGACAGGTGGATTGCCGCTGCTGTCACTGGCGTCGAGCTAGGTGGGCGTGGTTTCAGCAACCAGCTCCGATAGCATCCTCTTTGCCCATTTTCGATTATCCGGGAGTGACGCGCGGTGACGATGGCGACGGCTGACTCCGCCTACTTTAGGCTTCAAAAACGCTCTTCGGAAACCTACGGG